TGAGCCCTCTAGCTTCAGGGGCCAGTTAGGGCCCAGGAAGTGAGAATACTCTATCCTCCTTAGAAAAGATGACCAGGACAAAGGGGAACTGCTGCTGTCCACTCTGACACATCACCCGACCAGCCGACCATTTCCCTGATCTGGATACTCACTCCTGCATGTGGCAGGCACTCAGGCAGCATTCCCTGAGCAGTGCTGTGGGTATTTCCCCCTGCCCTACCCTACTCCCCGCTAGGTCTTACCCTTCATGGCGTCAGAGTAGGTTCTGGGTCACTACTGATAAAACATGTGGTTAGTTCAGCTCAGAAGATGTTCTGTAGTCCCTCTTATGTTCTGACCCTGCTGGCCCAGGAAACAGTAGCACTTGGGGAAGGGAACAAGCTCGTTGGGCCCAAGGCTTGGCAGTGTGGGTGGTGGGCTGCATGGCAGCGTCATGGGATGGGGCTAGGTATCTGTTAACATGTTTCCTGAGGGGGGATTTGGTTTTTAGCTTGCACCTAGAAGGTGAGGACCAGGCCAGGCCACCTTTGTCTCTGTCTCCAGACCCCAGCTAGGGACCTCCTACCCAGAGGAGGATGTAGGAGCAAGTATCTGCACAGGAAGTCCCTGCAGAGGAGGGGGCAATTGCTCCTGGCTGGGAGTCCCTGGGAGACTGTCTGGGGTGGGCTGGGCCAGTGACTCAGGCTGGGACCAGTGGGGAGCAGCCGTGGCCTCTGTCGTGGTTGGCTAGAGCTGAGGTCTGGTGGTACTGATGGAAAAGCTCGACATTCAGGGGCTCCATTCTAGAGTTGCCCTCTACAGGAGGCTGCTATTGTCTGCCTTTTGCAGATTTTAGGAGTGGGGTCCCAACCAATGTCTCTGGCCAGTAGGCTGAGGCCATATAGACAGTTCCCACTGAGCTTTGTTACCTGGGCAGGCCTGTACCAGGTGTAGATGGCCCACCACTGGGCCGGGGTTTGGTCTCAAGAGAACAGAAGTTGCCAGCTGGGGGCACAGTTTGTCCTGGAGCAACGATTCTATCTTGGTATGATGTGTTCATATGGTGCTTTGAACTGAGCCGCTTTGCAGCTTTCCCCAGACATTTTTGAGAGCACACAGGCCTCCAACAGGCCCATGAAGCATTCTTCTGTGGGAACAGCCTGAGTTGCTAGGAGAGGCTAGGCAGGACCCTGTCTCAAGGGCATGGTGGGCACAGGGCAGCTTCAGGGCCTGAGCATGGGCGTACCCTGGATGTCTGCATGGGTGGGTTCATCAGGATGGGGTTCTGGGCAGAACATGCACTGCCCCATTGTGGCAGTCACATTCCTCCCCAGCAAGTGGGGTGTGCCACCAGCTGGGGCATTCAGTGGGCAGCTCTTGGTTTTCACTGTACTGAAATGGCTGAGTTTGGAGCCAACAAAGTTTTCAAGGTGAAACTGGCTTTGCAGCCAAGGGACAGATGCCTTTGAGGAATATTGGGGGATCAGTGGCATCCTGTGGTTTGCTTGTGATGAGATTTACCAACCAAACCTTATATCTTCTTGCCCTGCCGCACAGCAAAAAAGGCCCAATTATTGCAGATAGCTAGGCAGGAGGTTGCTCTTAGCAACCCCTTATTTGGCAGGCAGGCCAAAGTGCAGAAGTTGGAGTGTCTTACCTGAAGCCATGATGCCTATGTGGGGCAGAATCTGGATCTGTAACAGCCTGTTTGACCTCAGCCCTCTCCAGGGCACACTTGTGGCAAAAGCTGCATGTCTCTGGAAGTTTCATTGTCTTTGTCTATTCAGGCTGCTATAACAAAAACACCTTAGAGTGGGTAACTTACCAACAACAGAAATTGCTATTTCTTACAGTTCTAGAAGCTGGGAAGGTCAAGATCAAGGTGCCAGCAGATTCAGTGTCTGGTGAGGGCTGGTTCTTCACAGATGGTGCCTTCTTGCTGTGACCTCATGTGGCAGAATTGGAAAATGAGCTCCCTTAGGCCTCTGTTATAAGGGCACTGATCAGGGCTGGCCCGTGGCTCACTTGGCAGAGTGTGGTGCTGATAACACCAAGGCCACGGGTTCGGATCCCTATATAGGGATGGCTGGTTGGCTCACTTGGGAGAGCGTGGTGCTGACAACACCAAGTCAAGGGTTAAGATCCCCTTACCGGTCATCTTTAAAAAAAAAAAAAGAATAAGGGCACTGGTCCCCATTCATGAGGGCTCCACCTTCATGACCTAATCACCTCCCAGCAACCCCACCTCTTAATTTATTGCATTGATAATTAGGTATCAACATATGAATTTTGGGAGGGAACACACATTCAGACCATAGCACCATGATTAGTGTCCAGACATAAGTTCTCACTTTGGCCATAAAATTAGGCTCCCTTACCCACCTGCACCTTACGTGGTTTACTGGATGAGATCAGGCAGGATGAGATCAAAAATGAGGCTAGTGGAGACCTGAGCACTAGGCACAGAGCATTTTCTGGTCAGGTTTACACCAGCACTTCCTGCCCTTTTTCACATTGTAGTTCAGAAAAAACAATGGCAGGTGTTCAGGTGTTGGGTACACTGGTGCGAACAGGTGTGGCTAATACCCAAGGGCTGTCAAGTCAATGCCCCGTCACCCACCTAGAATCCACTCACAGCACAGCATTCAGGACCCTTGGGCTTAGACTGGACATTGTTATTTATATCTACTCTTACACCCCACAACTTCTACACAGGCAAAGAAACAGACCACTCAGCTGGGGATGGGAATGTGTGGGCCTGGCTCCCTGGGCTCCTGAGTCCTTGATGCATTTTGATCTCACCCCTGGGCCTCTGTCCTGGTCAGCCTGGCCCAGCAAGGCCAGGGATAAAAGGGCTGAGGCTGCCCAGGCTGGGCCATCTTTCCACTTTCTTGTGCCCCCGACTCAGTTCTCATTCTGTCCTGAGTCAGTCTACGTCTGTCATAAGAGTTCCTAAGAGGCAGAATGGGCCTTAGAGACCTTTCCATCACAGGCATCTGGGGACCCCACTTCGCCAGACATCAGGTTTGCATTCGGGAATTGTTGATCCTTTGTCCAAGCCTGGCCTGGATGTGTCGAGGATCTTGAGGGCCTTTTTGTATGAGGTGCCATCTCCAGCCCCCTGCTGTGGTGGGAGGGAATGTGCTCTGTGCACCCCGGGGCCACACAGAATGCTACCACAGCCCAGATGGGGCCTGTGGCTCAGTGTGGTGCCAGCTGGAAGGACCTGGGCCCCCTCTGCAGCCTGGGCCAGCATCTTGGGTCTTTCAGTGGCCTGTTTCTCTCTCTACAATCCCAGTGCCTTCTTCTTTCTCAGTTAATCAAAAGACTCCGAGAAAAGCAAATTCATCAGAACAGCTTCCTCCATAGAGTGTTCAGGAACAAGGAGCATGCCCACAACAGGCACAGTCACATTCCTCAAGAGATAGTGCCTTTTATTTTCCATTTGCTGAGCCTGTTGTAGCAGCTTGTTCTCTGTGACATCTGGTGGTCATCTTTATTTCAGAGCAACATGCAAACACTATAGGCTTTGAAAGGATCAGGGCCCTGGGGACAGGTCTGTGATCTTGGCACTGGCAGGCGTGTGGAGCAAGAGGCGGCAGGTGCTCCAAGTCCCTGCCTTATGCGCACAGCCCCTCTAGTGCATCCCCTCTGAGAAGGGGCCTTGTTGCTGCTGGTTTTGTTGGGGACCTCTGGGGCTGGGCTATGGGCATGCCTCACTGTCAGAGCCTCCGTCCAGTCTACTGCTGGACTATGCATCTGTCTCTGGAGAGAAGAAGGCCCAATTTTGTACTCTGCTATGAAAGTGGAGGTTAACTACACCCACTCTTGTACAGTGTCAGGCCTGCCACCTGTTGTTGGTGGGCGGCTCTGAGAAGACTGGCCTGCGTAGCCTTGAAGTTGTGTTCAAGCTGCATTCACTGCTTGGGTAGGCCTCAGGCTGCCTCCTGCCCCAGACTAGCTCCCACACAGAGGCAGCGCTTGGCAGGCAGATGAGTTCTAATGCAGCCACACTCTTTCTGGGGCCTCAAAGGGCCCTATGAGGGAGTCAGGGGCCATCACATGCCTCTTAACAGATGAGGCACCTGAGGGCTCTGCCTGGAGCCTGGTCCCCCCTCCAACAGATCAGTGTTCTCCCACCCCCACTGCCAGTGCCTAAGGAAGGCACAGGGCCACTCTCCTCCAGAGATTCTGCATCTCCAAGCAGGGGCTATGACTCATTTTTAAACCAGCTCCCTGGATGGTCCTGATAGGCACCAGGTTTGGGACGTCAACTCAACCCCTTCTGGCCCCATCTCGCCTTCCCCAGCCGTGGGAAGTGAGTGGGCTGGGCATTATGCCCCCCTGTGTACAGCATGCAGCCTGGCAATGTTTCCATCTAACTCAGGCCTCTTCTCAAGGGCAGCATCACTGTGTGTCAGTAAATTCACTGCTGCTGTGTTCTGTTTAATGGCTGCATAATGTCTCTTGTCTGAAAATACATACTTTATCTAACCATCATTGTAGGGGATTTGGGTTGCTCTCTTCTTTTCCATTTAACAGTGTGACTAGAAAGATTCATGCCACTTAATTTTTGCATGCATCTTACATTGTTTTCTTAAGATAAAAATCCTAGTAGTGAAATTGCCTAATCAAGGAATCAGATATATCTGTACCAGGTCATCCCTTAGAAAGGTTGTACATGAAACATTATGAGTGACTCTGTTTCACTGCAACCTCCTCAGAACTGGTTGTTCATCAAATTTTTGCTCTTTGGTAATTTAGTAGGTGAATAATAGAATTTTGCATTTCTTTATTATCACAGAGTGTTCACTGGCAATAGTATTTCTTTGTGAGTGACTTGCAGGTGGCCCCTTGCCCTTGCTCAGGAGGTGGAGGAATCCAAGGTTTGGGTGGTCTTGTCACAGCCTGGTAGGCCAATTGCCAGCTAGGCTTTGGCCTGGCCTTGTGGTATGTGTGGTCCTGGGAATTCTGGGAGGGAACACGACCCCTTAGTAACCTGTTTACCTGCCCCTCCACAGAACTGTCAGACCTTCAGCAGCCTCAGCTGCCTGAGCATGGGGATGGAAGACTGCAGCCCCCAGAGCCCCTTCGCCCTCCATGTCAGCAGCACCAGGTCCTGGACCACCTTGCTGTCGGCCTCCAGCCCAGGGGGCAGGACTCCCGCTGGGACCCCTATCCCCGAGCCTCTTCCCCCCTCCTTCGACGACCGCCTCGCCTGCCAGGAGGACCTGTCGTGTGAGGAGTCAGATGGCTGCACCCTGGACGAGTGCTGTCGGCCTCCAGCCCAGGGGGCAGGACTCCCGCTGGGACCCCTATCCCCGAGCCTCTTTCCCCCTCCTTCGACGACCGCCTCGCCTGCCAGGAGGACCTGTCGTGTGAGGAGTCAGATGGCTGCACCCTGGACGAAGACTGCAGCAGGAGAGGGGAGCTGGCCACAGCCTGGCGGGACCACAGAGCTGCCGGGAACAGCCTCTGCTCCCTGGATGGCGAGTTGGACATTGAACAGATAGAGAAGAACTGAGGGGGCCGTCCGTGGATGCCAGTCAGGGATGGGGGTGCATTAGAGTCAACCAGTCTCCCTCTGGGCACTAGGTGGCCACTCGAAGTGGGAGCCTAACTCCTGGGCCTGATGAAAGCTTCCTGAGAGGCGTTGGGTCCCAGAGGGAGCCCACCCACCTCCCAGGGAGAGGCTGTCCAGCCCGCAGTGACTGGCTCTGTGACAGCTGGCCTGGCCATGCCACGCAGTGCAGTATATCAGCCTCTTACCAGTGACTTGAGAAGGTCGGCCACCAGGTCCACGGAACTACTGTAGCCTACAGAGCAGCTTTTTGGTTTGGGTCTTCTCCACCTTTCTCCTTGTGGGTTGTTGGGCAGTCTCTGTCATTTCCCCCGCAAAGCTGGGCACCACTTTGCATCCCCTGGGTGGGGATTGTCAGGGAGGGCCTGGGCTCAGGGCTGGGGCCAGGGTCCACATGGCTTTGTCAGGGCCCTTTTTGGCCTCGCTCAGGTTCAGTTTTGGGGAGTTGGCCCCACAGCTTCTTTCACTCAGTTTTATTCCGTGCCTTCTTTCCTAGGTCTCCCTGCTTCAGTCTTGCAAAAATTCGGGAGATGCTTCCTTCTGTAGTAACACCAGAACCATTTGGCCTTAATTCCAGGTGTGGGAGACAGTTCCTGGGGTGCTGGAGTGGCTCTCAGAGGGTAAGCCCATGTCCGAACACTTAGGTCCCAAGGAACAACTTGGGGGTGCTTGTTAGAGACCGTCCACAGTGGGTGGAAATTGGTGGATCTGTTGGCTGAGAAGACAGATGCATTTGCTCTCCTGTGGAATGGAGAGGCGGCCCCCATGGCTCTGCCACTTTGGGGGCTGCCTTGGCAGGATTGGCAGATGACGGCCCTTCTCTATGACTAACCAGCCACTAAATGATTAGCTTGGTTGATTCAGGTGAGTGTAGAGATGTCACAAAAAAAAGATGGTCTCTTGAAAATGTCCTTAGGAGACAGGAGCTCTGAGCAGGTGCACAGATCTCAGCCCTGTACACAGTTCATGGGTGAAGGATTTGCTGGCCACTCCGGGATGCCTGGGGCAGGGCCTCCAAGCCCCTGCAGTATCCAAGCACACTCCCAATTTGTTCACGGGATGGCTGGCTTTAATTAAGGCACCCACTGTCCCTCAAGACAAGACCAGGACTCAGTGCCACCTCCGGCTGTAGGCCCAGCCCCAGCCCCTGACCCCCTGAGGTTTGCCTGCCTCAGGCAGCTCCTCCCCACCTGCCCTGCAGACATACCCCATGGGCTCTGCTCTCTGGGAATCTGGCTTTTAGCAAACTTGGCGTCTTCCACAGACAGTAGGAATTGGGCTGGCTTAGGAGCAAGTGGCTCATTTTCCTGTAAGGGTAAGAGTGGCTGGTGCAATCTCCTGAGTGCGCAGACACATGACAGAGGTGCTTGTGTGGTCACTTTGCTTCCACTCATCTCCTGTGGGCGAGTGGATGCCCCACTTCTGTAGGGCGAGTCCACATGCTCTTTACCTTCCTCCTAAAGAAAGGCCGTTTTGGAAACTGTTTAAATCCTCACTTTTTACTGCATCAACAGGGTGGTGGCTCAAGTTCTGGTTTGTAGGTTGTGTTTCTTAAAAATCAGCCATAAGATACTTGCAGAAAGCCTCCAACCCAGGGGCCCTCAGACTGTTGACAGCCTCAGGCTGGATGGCACAGTGGGTGTGCTGGGTAGGCAGGTCCCGGAGGGGGGGGCAACCAGCTCTCCTCAGTTTGATGTAGCTCCTACCACAGGCACATCCACTCGGGACCCCAGAAAGCCAAACCAGAGAGCTGGCAGCTCTAGGTAGATGATGGCATCTCACCTGATCCCTGCCTGGTGAGTCGTGGAGGCCACATCTTCTCAGAGCAAATCCGGAGGGGGCTGGGGCAGTTGGTGGGTGGGTGTGGAGAGTGCATGCCTGTGCCTTATGTCTTCAGAACCCACCTAGGATGGGAGGTGCTGGCACATGGAGTGGCCATCCCATGAGTGGGCACGAACAGAGCACAGCCTCTAAAGCAGACCTTCCTGTGAGGGCAGGGCAGGGTCCCATCTCCTGGCCGGCACTGCAGTGCGGGAGGGAGCGCAGTGCCAGCCACACTCTCAGCACCAGGAAGGGAGGCACATGGTGATGGGCGTGTGCCACAGGCCATAGTGTGGGCCACCTGCCCTCAGGAAGGACAAGCAATGGTGCTTGCTGAGTCACAGCTTTGTCCTCCCTACCTCCCACCAAGCTAGTCCCATCAGCCAGCAAGCCCAGCCCCAGGGCACTTAGGGGTAGAAGAGGTCCAGGCCCAAGTCAGGGTTTGACCCTTTCCAGCCTCCTCAGGTTCCCCCCACCCCTTCCGACTGTTCCTGCTCCACCAAAGCTCCTAGCCAAGCCACAGTTGCAGCAATTAGGGAGAAAAGGTGGGCGTCCCTTCTTCTTAGAGAAAGAAATGGCTCCACAGGTTTCATGTTTGTCTTTTGTTTGGAGAGAGCAGACCCCATCCAGAAGGTGCCACCACCATCTTCTGAGCAGCCTTACCCCAGAGAGGCTGCTTACCCTGCTCCACTGTGCTGGCCCCACAGCGTTTGATCTCAGAGCTCTTGGAGGGAGCTTCACCCAGGGTCATCCCCATGGGGCATGGACAGGTAGACTAACCCCAGTACGGAGCCCCAGCTGATGGCAGCAGCAGGAGCCTCATTTTTGTCAGGGCCCTGCCCTCCTCCCTGCGAGGGGAGACTGAAGAAGTGCACAGCAAGAGGGTCACCGGGCCAGGTCATCCACCTGCTCAGGGGGCCCTGGAGGACAAGTGGGGCAGGGGCTCCAGAAGTGCTGGGTGGGGAGGAGGGGCTTCCTGTCCCATGGCATCCCCTCTCGCTGCAACAGCCACTGCACTGACAGGCGTTGTCGTCTGCTGGGGGCCAGGCGGGCGCAGGCGCAGCCTCCGTTTACACTGCTGCAACCCCCTTGCCTTACTCACGGTGGGGGCCAGGGCTGGCCCCAGGCCCACAGGGAGCTCATCCTGACCGTACATATGGATTTTCACTCTCAGAAAGCCTTACTTTTCAACAAAATTTTGTAGCAGGAAAATTTTGTGAATTTGTATGCTGAAAGACAGTTTAAATAAAGGAAAATTTCACATTAAAAAGAAAACAAATCCCAACATCCAAATGGGTCTCCAAGTGCAGGGGGGCATGGGTTGTCCATGCTCTGCTGCCTATCGGAGCAAGCTTCCCTAGCAATGAAAACACACCCTGGATCTCGTGCCATGGGAGGTTAAAATCATGTGCTCTGTGGCCACAGGGGTGGGTCACCTGAAGGATGACTGCTTCCGATGTTAGCTGCTTGGGACAGAGCAGCCCAGCCAAGCACCTGTAGCCTAGGTAGGATAGTTTCACCTTCTAGCATAGTTTTCAGTGCGTGGGGGAGATGTCCTAGGGATTCAGGTGATAGCACATAGGCTGTTTCTAGGGTTGTAGCGTGCTTTCCCGAACTGTTCGTCGTTGGTGTTGCAGAACTTCAGGAAGTGTGGCGGCCGGAAAGTGTAGTGTTGGGCCAGTCGCCTGCATAGGGGCAAAGCGATCTGTGTTCAGAGGGCGCTGGGTCTGTGTCCTGTCCTCAACCCCCGCCCCCTGCAGCCTATCCACCCTGAGCAGGCTGTGACTGTCTTGCACTAGAGCCGCTCTAGTCTCTCAGGAATTTGCTTGTTACTTTTACTGTGTAAATAAAGCTTCCTGGTTCAATACCCAACTGCCTGCAGCTGGCTGTGTGGTTTCTGTTGGGTGCAGTGAACCAGCAGGTCCCCTCTGCCCATGGGAGCATTAGCTGTGGGCTGGGAAGGGCATAGACCAGACCCTTCTGTCCCTTCCTAGCCTCAGGCTCAGGATCCATATCCCCCGTGGGGGTAGCAGACATGGCCCAAAGCCATGGGCATGCTCAAACGCAGGCGGCTGTGTGAGCACCAGTGGGGTAGGAGGGCTGCTACGGCACAGCTGCAGTCATGGGAGCCCTCCAGAGGCAGGCTGTCCAGCACCAGCACCCAGGGGCCAGTGCACGTGTGAGAGTGGGGGTGGAGGAGCCCAGCCCCTCGCTGCAGCCAGAGCCAGGGACCCCAGGACAGCAGAGAGGAGACAGTCCTGTAATTGGTCACTCAGGAGTGGGGAAGGAGTCTGCCTTTCATACAGCATAGAGACTGCCCTTATGAGCACACCAGCTCAGCCTTCAGCCTCCCTGAGATGCAAGGGCCGCATGGCAGTGTGCTCCAGGTCTCGCTCCTAAGTGTCCAGCCTGGTGCTCGGCCTGTGGGGACATAAGAGCGTGCAGCTTGGCCCAGCATGGGTACACAGTCCCTGTGCCTGGACCCTGGTTAACCAAGCTCAGGAGATGCAGGGCATTTATAGCCTTGAGGACAGTGTGGAGATGTTTGTTTAGTTTTCACAACCCAACATTTGCCCATGTAATCTGGCCACGGAATTTTTGCCTAGGACATCTGTTAGGTCCTGCAGGTTCCCCTCTGGGAATGAGGCTCTGGAGCGCTCAATTCTGACTCTTGGTTTGTTTTCTTTTTAGCACCAGATCCTTTTTCAAATAGAATGGGCTATGAACAACTAATTCAAGAAACAGGTGAAGGGCCGGCCCGTGGTTCACTTGGGAGAGTGTGGTGTTGATAACACCAAGGCCACAGGTTTGAATCCCTATATAGGGATGGCCGGTTGGCTCACTTGGGTGAGCGTAGTGCTGACAACAAGTCAAGTGTGTTAAGATCCCCTTACCGGTCATCTTTTAAAAAAAAAAAAACAAAAAAACAGGTGAAGCCAGGCTACCAGGGGTGAGGTGAGCCCCTGACTCCCATCTCTGGCAGCCTTGCAGCACCTGAGGCCCAGGGACCCACTGATCCAAGGCTGGACATGTTGACTTTCCCAGCCTACCCTCATCCCTGCCTAAGATACTTGTTGGATGACTGGCAAGGCAGAGGCCAGTGGAGGTTCTTCCACGCACAGTGGGCCTTCCAGAAGTTCCCCATGTGAGAGGGCACAGAGTGGCCCTGGATGAACCTGTGGCTCCTAACAGCCCCTTACCTGCCCCACCCCCCACCAGACAGGGTCCCTGGCTGGGCTCCGGCCTCATGCCGGCCCCACTCCAGCTCACCTTGGCTCAGTGATGGTCACCCTGGCTCCCTTCTCCAGAGCCTTCCCCCCTTGTCTGTCTTCCTGCACCTCAAGGTTTGTTGAAACTGGGACTCTGCCCCTGGGCACAGGTGCTAGGTCTCTCTGGGCAGCAGCTCCCCTCTGCCCTGCTGTGGGGTCTGGCTGCAGTCCTCAAGCCGGGCCAGCTCACGGGTGTGTGTGACATGGGGGTACTGTCTGTGGGACACTGGCCATGTGCTCACTCTTGGAGCAATGTCCTCATCTGTACACAGGGATTGTAACCCTGGGGGCTTGCATGAGAAAATCAATGCAAAAACCCCACTACCACCCTTGACAAACAGCACAATCATGAGTGTGCATAGAAAGAAGACCAAAGG